TCGTTTAAAAACGTTCAGCGAAGTGAAATAGTCCGTTTTGATTTAGTCGTTTTAAAATCGAAAAACAAATTGTTATTGGGGCAGCAACATCCCTTTCAGTGTAAATGTGCGCACAAACCAACTGATGAATAGGACCACTCTTTTTCTAAAAATCACCTTCCAGGTTCGACAGTAATTAGAGTTACTCCGCCAAAGGTTGAATTTGTTTAAATTCAAACGATAGAAATTAAAGCTATTGATGTTATCATGCTGTACCATGCATAGTAATAGCTTTCTGTGACGGTAAAAAGGGGAACTCGACGTTTGTTTGAATGTACCGTATATGTGATTTAGTCACCTTAAAGGATTAGCGAGCTTTATGGAGCAGTAGAATACAAACATAAACAGTTTGTCGAATAGTGTTTTAGGGTTCGTTGTTAGAACAGTTCATTTTTTGATCGTTCACTGGACAATCGCTAGGCATGATTGTAAGAAAAGATAAATAGCACTTTTTGGTATGAAAATTACACATGATTGAATTATGACTTAATAGAATAAAATCGATATGGAATTGAGCATATTTACACCCCATGATTAACAGTATATTATTGTAAACAGCTGATGCAACACATCTTCAAACACAATTAAGTATAATGTTTTAGTTAAACAAATCATCCTGAATTTTGGTTTAACTAAAAGTTTGTGAAATCCCGCTTCTGCTTATTCTCTTGCTCTGGGTCCTTTCTATCTCCTTGTCTTTTGTGTATACAACTTATTATATAATCGAGTTTTAGGATACGAATAGAATTTATATAATTAAAACTATTAAGTCCATCATTAGATGAATAAATCAATGAACCAACGATTAACAAACAAACATAACCAAACAAAAACAAGACAATCAACTGCAGATAGCAATCCAAATTAAAAACCAAAAACATTTCTAGATCCCATTGTCCAATCTACACTAAACCGTCTTAACAGTAATCGTGTGGAAAGCATCCAGTAGCTTGTTGTTTGTCTGCAAACACTATCACCTAGGACCTAGGCTTGCTTTATAATCAAGAAACCCTATCTTCTATTTTTTCGAAGCTTACAATGCTTCTGTATAGTTTTTATTTCGACTACTTGTTAACAATCAGCCTACGAAGCTGCTACCTTCTAATTGGATTTCGAAACTGCCGGAGAATCCTTATAGTTGTTTCATCTTTGGCATCTTTAGTCGCTCAACAAATCACACTTAGGATTCCTTTTGGTTTTCCTGTTGCCTAGCACACTTACCTACAGGATCATTCAGTATCATAAATTTACATTTATTGGATTCCATGCCTTTAGCAATCTATTACTAATATTTTAGGAAAGATCACAAAGAAGATAACAATCTAAATAAAAGTTTATTTAATAAAACACAATGTATCAAAGGTATAGTGTACGTCGACATAAAGTTAAATAAATTAAGGACGCCTAAATAACACAACATATCATTAAAAAAAACTTTGAACTCGTCAATCAGAAGCCGACATAGGTTCTAACGGTCGATTATAAGTTTATCAAGATAATTACATTACAATCTTTAACTCGACATCGGGATTGGTTCATTACGAAAGTATTTTACCCGTTTGGTGTTGTCCCAATTAACAAACAAACAACACCTGCCATTTGAGCGAGGGGGCATTGTAAGGCATTCAGGGGTTCGTTACAGATAGGGTTTATCTGAGTCGAGTAAAGACATATTGTCCAAAAATAACAGAAAGGAGATTTTAATATCTTCAAAATTGTAAACAAGATCGTTCGTATCAAGTAAAAGAAGTGTAAGCGATGTAGTATTTCCCTGTTTTTACCCATCAGCCACTTATACTAGTTAAATATCCGCATATTGGACGTCTGTAAAGAGCGACTTCAGTTACCTGTAAGTTCTAATGGTTAAAAATGTTTACGCTAGGCAGTCTCTGTTGATGCTATCAAAAGCTTTTAGTCTCGTCAAAACACGCCAAAGCTAAGAGTCAAGAGTATACATGTAACATAATAACATTAGCACTGCAGTGCTATTCTTGTGACAAAACATATATAAAATTTAACAAGGATCACAGTACTTATGAATATATATACTATAAAAACAGGACAACAACTCAAATTAGATATGCTAAAATTATACAGTAGAGCATATGATATCACACTTGAATGTCACACAAGTGTTACAAAAGACAAGTTAAGACACTATAATAGCGTAATGTACATAAATGCTAATGTAGCAAAGTGTAAAAATTTACAAGATATACACTAATATAGTGTGAATTAAAAAGAGACAATGAAGTCATAAATAGAAACAGGGCTATAATTATGATATTGTAAAAAGTAATGATCTTTTAAATAATGGAGCTCAAATCTAAAATAAATATCAATTATATAATAAGTATATTACTGGAGTATATTAAATTAAATAACACAAGCAGCAGTGAAATTAAATAGTTGTAGTATAAAACATGTAGGTAGATTCCAAAGGGGGACAACTCACACTATATGGTGTCTACAGATAGCTTATGAGCAGACATTTTTGTTCCAGGTGCGCAGCCCACGAAACGACTTATAGTTTTCACCTAATCGAAGTTCATTGTGTAGGCTGTTCCACACCTGGGAAGCAGGTATTTTCTATTGTATCTGTATTGATGTCTTGTTAAATGTTGTCATCTTTATTAAACCTCGTTTTACTTCTATCATCTACTATGTCTGTCATCCCACCTGATCAAATCATGTGGATGTCGGACGAAACCTCGGATTCGTCGAATACCATGTTTTCCTTGAACTATTGATCTGGACCATACGAGTTCGGGTTAGCATTTTTTTTTAACTGTAAACGGTCAAAGCAGCTTCACTTCTTTGGCACCCCGTGAGCATACAAATCGCAATGGCTAAACCAGGATGGTGCACATCAATCAAACAACTAGACCTAAGGTCAACTGCGTGCCCCAGTTAACATTGCACATAGACAGATTAGACACCATATATGGACTTTACACTGATTGTTTAAGATTTAGATTTATGGTACGAATATGAATATACATGTATGATGGATGTATAAAGTAACAAATATTTACAGTACATTATACAAAAATATTAATCGTGCTTTGCACATTTTATATATCTAAAAACAAATTATTAAATTAACTTAAGGACGCCGACGCCGTGTTAGTTTCCTTTACATTCATTGAACGAAATAAAATGCTATATGCTATCCCTGTTTTCATGTTTAACTTTTTTTGTCTTTTACTAGGTTTGATATAGCATTCCTGTTGAGCTTAGTGCTAAGCTGCCTATTTTGTTAGCCGGTTAAGCTATTTTTCTGCTCCACAGAAAGAATTATACTTGCATAGTTTTGCACCTTTTTGATGGTCCCATTGTTAATTAATTCCATTTCTGCATCATTTACGTAATTTTAAGGAGGTTCCTTTTGAGATTTTATCTCGTTAACTTTTAATATAACCCACGCGATTATTTAATATAATTTATTCATTATTTTTCATTTAATTTGCCTTTATTTACATTCATAAATATGAATTGAATTTAGAAATAATCACACATTATTAAATTGGCAAAGAGTGGCCAATCAAGAGTAACCCTAAATTAAGCATATACACAATCTATAAATGACCAACATTTCCTACACGTACGCCTCAGAATCACACAAACCCATACCTACACGTACCCCTCAGAATCACACAAACCCATACATACACGTACCCCTCAGAATCACACAAACCCATACATACACGTACCCCTCAGAATCACACAAACCCATACATACACGTACCCCTCAGAATCACACAAACCCATACATACACGTACCCCTCAGAATCACACAAACCCATACCTACACGTACGCACGTACCGACGCATCAGCAAACATGTATAGAACTGAGAATTTATAAAACTGGGTCAAATGTGGTGAAAGGAAACATTTAAATTAGAAACCCTTGAAAAAATACAGGGAGAATGATAAAACAGTTTGGTCCGGAAGGGTAGTCGTCTTCAACTTCATTTACCACTTCCTTCTTAATCTTTTATAAACTATATATAATATATATATATATATAAATGTCATTCTAAACGTGAACAGTTACAAATGAAACAATCACCTAAACATGTATACAAGAATCGAAATAGATCTCTACTTCATTTCTCTTTAAAAAAAGGACAAACTCACTTAAGGATTCCTGTTCCCCTGCCAAAGACTGAAGCTATGCATTTAAAACTATATTTTTCCAGCATGACTACAGTTTTGATAAATCATTTCTGAACAGGTAAAACATGCTATTCGAGACCGTTATTACTGTATATACGAAAAACACAGTCGAATTATCTAATACTTTGTCTGCAGAGGGATAGGGATCCTTAAATAAAATGATATATACTTAGCTTAGTGCATGTCATTAATAGAAAAGTATCGTTTTCCACAGATCTAAAAGACACCATACCGAAAGATGGAAGACTTCAAGATTACTGCCATTCGACGATCATTACATAGTGACAGTCTTCTTCACAATCCACACTGAATAAACGTGCCAGATGCTGGTAAACGTTTCTGGTTACCAACTAGTGGGTTACAATCTGGACGTGAGTTCATCTTCTAATTATGTCGTCACGTAACAATGTTTGCGATGTCATCTTCCTGTGTGTAGTCATAGTTCATGGCCACTGTGTCCCCGATCGGAAACAGTAATAATGTATTCCGAAGAGAAACATGTGCTTTTCTAGATGTTTAATATCTGAACGTTGTGGGAGAAAGGGGCCTTCAAACTCGTCATGTTTGAGTGCCTTGTTTCTCTAACTCGAGCTAGTAAATTTTCAAATTTTATATAGAAAGTCGTGGACAAGCTCAAGTCTTTCTACAATTTGAAAATAAACTACCACGATTTAGGTTAGTGTTACATGTGTGTGAAAGTGACGATATGTTTCTAAAATATCAGTTTGAAGAGCGACCCTGGCGCGGGTCGCTTATTTCCTGCATATTATAGAGGGCCGGAGTTCTGACGTTAATCGACGACAGACCGATATAAAAAAGTCGATAAAACGTCAGATTAATTCGGACTAGATTTAGATGAACATGGTTATCAACCAGAACGAGCTTGGGAACCTCTATATTCATCTCATGTGTCTAATTGGATCTCTCACGATTTTCCAAACTAAATGTTAGCATGTTGTTGGAAATAAGAGAATTTATAAACGGACAATGATGTAATTAAGTTATGTTATTGTAGTATTTCAACAACAGTTTTTAGATGACTGAGAGTATGTTATGGGAAACGTCTTGGATGCCTAGTCTAATATCCGTCTCTTCACATTTGGACACTGTTCAGGATTCGACTAAGATAACAGTCATGAATAAAATATACTTAAATACCTTGTTATTTGACCTTAACGTCATAGGTATTTATATCCTTACAAGATGGCGGGAAAATATTGAAACAGTTCATTGTATATCTTCTAAAATGTACATTTTAACGCAGTCACAATATCTCAAACTCACATAGAATCGTGCACACGTGTAACACGATATATGAAATATATAATGTTTGAATACAAATTGCATTTATGCTTAAAATGATATCCACTGTAAACCACAGGAAAGGTGAGTATGTCTGAGACATAAGTTTGAAGGAAATCACGCGGAGGTCTCACGGGATTTTACCAGCCGAGGTCAAACAGAAATCTATCCCAGTGTCTTCGTACAACTTCTTTTATCTGAAACAAACAATGTATGATGTTTGAAGCAAATGAAAGAACAAAAGGATAAACAAAGCAATGACTATCGAGTTACGAACGTCGACACAATATTTAAACGATGTCGACATCATTCGAAAATTATTAGATAATTGTTTTTTAAACTGTGTCGATATATAATCATTTTTTTCCCGAGATAACATTTCTGTGATAATAACACGCATTGTAACTCGTGTTTGTGTTCATGCTCGGATGTAACATCAACATGTAGTTAACTCGTTGTTTGTGTTCATGCTCTGATGTAACATCAACATGAAGGTAACTCGTGTTTGTGTTCATGCTCGATAGTATACTCAACATGTAGGTAACTTGTTGTTTGTGTTCATGCTCTGATGTAACATCAACATGATGTCGACATCATTCGAAAATTATTAGATAATTGTTTTGTAGACTGTGTCGATATATAATCATTTTTTTCCCGAGATAACATTTCTGTGATAATAACACGCATTGTAACTCGTGTTTATGTTCATGCTCGGATGTAATGTCAACATGTAGGTAACTCGTGTTTTTGTTCATACTCGGATGTGATATTGATAAGTAGGTAACTCTTGTTTGTGTTCATGGTCGGATTTAACATTAACATGAAGGTAGCTAGTGTTTGTGTTCATGCTTGGATGTAACATCAACATGATGTCGACATCATTCGAAAATTATTAGATAATTGTTTTTTAAACTGTGTCGATTTATAATCATTTTTTTCCCGAGATAACATTTCTGTGATAATAACACGCATTGTTACTCGGGGTTGTGTTCATGCTCGGATGTACCATCACCATGTAGGTAACTCGTGTTTGTGTTCATGCGCTCGGATATAACATCAACATGTAGGTAATTCGTGTTTGTGTTCATGCGCTCGGATGTAACATCAACATGTAGGTAACTCGTGTTTGTGTTCATGGTCGGATGTAACATTAACATGAAGGTAACTCGTGTTTGTGTTCATGCTCGGATGTAACATCAACATGTAGGTAAATCGTTGTTTGTGTTCATGCGCGTATGTAACATCAACATGAAGGTAACTCGTCATTTGTGTTCATGCTCGGATGTAACATCATCATGAAGGTAACTCGTTGTTTTTGTTCATGCTCGGATGTAACTTCAACATGTAGGTAACTCGTGGTTTGTGTTCATGCTCGGATGTAACATCATCATGAAGGTAACTCGCCCGGATGTAACATCAACATGAAGGTAACTAACATGAATGTAACTCGTGTTTGTGTTCATGGTCGGATGTAACATTAACATGTAGGTAACTCGTTGTTTGTGTTCATGCTCGGATGTAACATCATCATGAAGGTAACTCGTTGTTTGTGTTCATGCTCGTATGTAACATCAACATGAAGGTAACTCGTTATTTGTGTTCATGCTCGGATGTAACATCAACATGTAGGTAACTCGTTATTTGTGTTCATGCTCGGATGTAATATCAACATATAGGTAACTCGTGTTTGTGTTCATACTCGGATGTAACATCAACATGCAGCTTATTGATGTAAAACAACAAGATCAGGGGTAGTAGCAAATGGTTCTCCAGGAAACTATCACGTGATCTGCTACTAGCTTATACTAATTAGCTTCACGTACCATCCAGCCTCGTTTTAGGTTTTGTATACACATTTGTATCAATGCATGTTATATTTGTAGTATACATTAGATTTATGAGTGGCAATTCGACGTCACATCCAAGCATTACATCGTAACACGATATATAGTCGAGTTTTTTATTTCCGACAAAAATTGTCTTGGCTAATACATTTTGATGTGGACATACTTGATACATCATGTCGATGTAATCTGAAAGTATGTCCACATCTTCCCATATAATGTCGACTAGTTTTAGAGATTATATCGGCATACGTTGGTCGCGCGTCGTAAGCTGATGGCAGAAATATGCCACCCTACAAGTGTAATCTAGAAAAGGCATCACAAGAGATGGTTGTGTCGTTATTCGTACGGTATATTTATTCATGAATCAAAATTGGCTACCTTTAAAGTTAATTAAAAAGTCAGTAATCTTCTTTTAGATTTGATTGATTGGTACAACTTAACCAAATAGAATATTTTTGTTCGTCATTTAAATGACCACTCCTACATATTAGTCAAATACTTTTTATGAATTTTAACAGTTTTGCTTGCGTCCGATAGTTTTTTAGTGAATAATTCTAGGACTCAATTTATTTTAATTATAGAATAATGTATCAAATATCTTCTTTTTTTTTTCAAAATGCACGGAATGAACTGTATATTTTCACATGCTTCTTTAAGGTTAAATGAAAGCAAAGATGAACAGGATTTTCTTCCATTTTACAAATATCCTTCTACAGTTGTCTGCTACAGTAGGAAATAACCAAAACATCGAATATGGATAGTTTTTGTAGTTTAATTGGGCATACATGTAGTTGCATGCTGCATATTTTCTCTGACACTTCAACACAATCTAAACAGGTAAATATTTTCTACTTTTCAGAGGATGCATGCAATTGCTGTTTTGGTAGTTGATGAATTTTACCAAGTGAAAGTGAAAGTGAAAATGAAAGTCCTCTAAATGACCGAGAAACCACTTTCTAATATTGTGTCAGTGCTTTATATTCAATGAAACTATACTTCTCAATATGTATTCTTATACTTATACTAGCTTAACGTATATCACATCTAAAATATATATATATTTACCGACCCTTGTACTGTACATGTCTACATAAATTTGTATATATAACGACCATGTGCTATATTTGCCGACCATGAACTATACATATAAACATATATTTGTATACCTACCGACAATGTACTATAAATGTATACAAATATATGGGTCAAAGACGTAATATAGACGGTAAAATCCCATATAACACTGGATCCTAATGGAGGTATGTCCGTAGGATACGAATTACTTAAATAGTATATGGAACAAAGAAGTAATTCCAAAATATGTGTATACCTACCGACAATGTACTATACATGTATACAAATATATGTATACCTACCGCCAATGTACTATACATGTATACAAATATGTGTATACCTACCGACAATGTACTATACATGTATACAAATATGTGTATACCTACCGACAATGTACTATACATGTATACAAATATTTGTATACCTACCGACAATGTACTATACATGTATACAAATATTTGTATACCTACCGACAATGTACTATACATGTATACAAATATTTGTATACCTACCGACAATGTACTATACATGTATACAAATATTTGTATACCTACCGACAATGTACTATACATGTATACAAATATTTGTATACCTACCGACAATGTACTATACATGTATACAAATATTTGTATACCTACCGACAATGTACTATACATGTATACAAATATTTGTATACCTACCGACCATGTAGTATACATGTATACGAATATTTGTATACCTACCGACCATGTACTATCATGTATACAAATATGTGTATACCTACCGACCATGTATTATACATGTATACATATATGTGTATACCTACCGACAATGTACTATACATGTATACATATATATGTATATCTACCGACCATGTACTATACATGTATACATATATGTGTATAACTACCGACCATGCACTATACATGTATACAAATATTTGTATACCTACCGACCATGCACTATACATGTATACAAATATTTGTATACCTACCGACCATGCACTATACATGTATACAAATATTTGTATACCTACCGACCATGCACTATCATGTATACAATTATTTGTATACCTACCGACAATGTACTATACATGTATACAAATATTTGTATACCTACCGACAATGTGCTATCATGTATACAAATATGTGTATACCTACCGACCATGTACTATCATGTATACATATATGTGTATACCTACCGACAATGTACTATACATGTATACAATTATTTGTATACCTACCGACAATGCACTATACATGTATACAAATATTTGTATACCTACCGACCATGTGCTATCATGTATACATATATGTGTATACCTACCGACCATGTACTATACATGTATACGATTATTTGTATACCTACCGACCATGCACTATACATGTATACGAATATTTGTATACCTACCGACCATGTGCTATCATGTATACAAATATGTGTATACCTACCGACCATGTACTATCATGTATACAAATATGTGTATACCTACCGACCATGTACTATACATGTATACGATTATTTGTATACCTACCGACCATGCACTATACATGTATACAAATATTTTTATACCTACCGACCATGTGCTATCATGTATACAAATATGTGTATACCTACCGACCATGTGCTATCATGTATACAAATATTTGTATACCTACCGACAATGTACTATACATGTATACGATTATTTGTATACCTACCGACAATGTGCTATACATGTATACATATATTTGTATACCTACCGACCATGCACTATACATGTATACGAATATTTGTATACCTACCGACAATGTACTATACAAATATTCGTATACATGTATAGTACATGGTCGGTAAGAATACATAGTATAGATAAATAATGCCGTACTTGGTCGGTAAGTTTACAAAGTATAGATAAATAGTGTGGTACATGGTCGATAAGTATACTCATATATGTATAAATGTATAGTACATTGTCGGTAGGTTTACAAATATTTGTATAGATGTATAGTACATGGTCGGTAGATATACAAATAGTCATATACATGTATAGTACATGGACGGTAGATATACAAATAGTCGTATACATGTATAGTACATGGACGGTAGATATACAAATATTTGTATCCCTACCGACCATGTACTATCATGTATACAAATATTTGTATATCTACCGACCATGTACTATACATGTATACAAATATTTGTAAACCTACCGACAATGTACTATACATGTATACATATATGAGTATACCTATCGACCATGTACTATATTTACCGACCATGAACTATATATGTATACATATATTCGTATACCT